GTCCCCCCCCCCCCCCCCGGCCCTCTCTCTCTCCCCAATTTCTCTTTTTGACGCCGTTGGAAAACAGCACAGAGCAGTAGAAATATTTCTCATGGACAGCACAAATTTTATGAGAATCCCATACATATAACCCACCCGATTCCGATCCAGGAACCATTTCCTGAAGTGTTCAATCAACCAATCAATCCGTAGATTGTCTCTCACAAACAGTAAGAAAAGGCGATGTAATTCCGCCGAGGAAAATAGTCCCCGTCTGTGTATCGTGAACTACCGTCGTAGCACCAGGCAAGACCTCCCCCTCGATATCCTCCAAGATCTTTTGAACCTCGTAATATGCCCCGTTTCCATTCTTCAGTTTTCGGATCCGGAAGATGGTGGAGGGGACATTGGTGGTGAGAGGCTTTTTTGAGGCTTGGATTAATGATAGGGGCCATGGGATAGCAGCTACGAAGATATCGCCGTTGGTGTCTATTGAGAGATTGCCTACGACCATCCCGATCTTGATCTCGTCGATGGGGAGAAGCGTCTGGTCTGGTTGTAGGGTAAAGACGGTAATTTTACCAGATAGAGAATGGGCAACGTAATAGAGACTATCGTGTCCTTTCACTACTCCGTTGGCGATCTGGAATTTGAAGTCCTTGGTGGCGGTGTGGCATTTGTTGTTTGACCCGCAGTATGCAACACTTCCTCCTCCCAATAGTGAAGATAAGTGGCCAAACTATGCGCGTTGTTAGCTATTGCTGGAGGTTGGTTAAGAGTGCGCTGACCCTAGGCATTTTGGAGTCACGAATATTGGAAACAACGAAGCCTCCATCTCCAGTCGCTGCAATGTTATTTGGGAGCTATACAGAATCGCTAAGAACAGTCTTAACGTATTCCAAATTTGACGATCCACGAGACAGTTCGAACGATTCTATAGTCGAGTTCGCACCGACCTTCGTGGCATCCATCAGGTTTCCAGACTCATCAACTGGAGGTCGATCATTGACCATCCAGAACCGTAATCGGTCATTAGGTAAGACCTCGATGTCGATTCCAAGAACATCAAAATCTTTTCCCCCAGTGGCCGATTGATAATCTCCTGTGATTGCCAATTGATGCAGGCCGTACAGCCCATCGTCTCCAGGTTCATCGATTTTTAGAACAGCAACGTGACCAGTAAGTTCTCTGGCAGTTACATTGTACTGGTTTCCGCTATAGCCTTGTCAGCGGCTTTCTACCAAATATATTGCAGTGAACTGACGCAGGGCACCACTCGATACGCAGGGCACCACTTGTTACGACCAAGTACACTGGAGCACGCGACATAAACAGTCCTGCCTTTAGTATCCAGCACCAAATCCTCGCAGCTTTCTAACAAAGGATGGATCAATCTTCGACATTTGTAGGGAAACTCATCAATCTTCTGCCAATTCTGATTGATGCCAAAGGTGAGCCAGATCCTTTCTTTCAGGAAGAATTGGAAAATCATGGCAAGGGAAAGCACGGTCGACCCGGCAATGATGAATTTCGATGCCATCGTGAAGCTTGAAGTGGAATTGCAAAGGTAGAAGGGGCTTGAATGGACAGATGCTCATAGACATAGGGGATCTAGGTTCTCGCCACTTAACGTATACTTACTTACCCACATATCTTATCTCCTGTGTATGCTGACTGAAGGAAGATGGGGGTGAGTAAGGAGAGAGGAGGGTGGAAAGGGATGACTAATCATGCCTCGAATATGAGGCTCTTACATCCAACCGAAGCTGGAAATGAAATGAATCGCTCACGTGCCTCCAGGAGAAAGCGTTCGGACCATGCGTATTGCATCTCTTAAATAGGAGAGGACGACGATCCTTTTCTCCCGTGTTCTTTTCCCTTTATAGAAGATATATATGTACCTTACTATATATAGCCCCTATCCCGCCTCTGTCCTCCTCCTCGCTCGCGCATCCGATAGTTCGCTGTCCCGTGTATATATATCGAAAAAAAGAATGACATCAGTCGCCCAAAGAGAGGCCGTTCGCCCCCGAAATTCCCGAAAGCCGCGAAGCATCCCCGGCAGAAGGGTCTTTGGCGGCCTCGTCTCGAGTTGTCTCCAGTCTTTTTCCTTTCCTTCAGCCTCACTACTCGACCAGCCCAATACATCACATAAACATACACCATCCATCCATCCATCCCATCCAATCGTTGAGGCAAAAAAAGCTTTCTCACTTCCTCTCCCTCTCCCTCTCCTTCTCCTTCTCCCTTCTCTCCCTTCCTTTCCACCCCTCTTCTTCCTCTCTTCTCCGCTCCTTTTCCACCCCTCCCCTCCCCTCAACTCTCCTCCCCGCTGTCTTCCCATGGCTATGGCCGCCGTCTGTCTGGCTTTCTGTTCTTAATTGATCGCTGCTGGGAGAGGGCCGTGTACCTGGCGCCAGGAACCAACTTCTCGTCCTCCGCCTGATAACGACCGGCCGTGCTGTCGCATAAGCAACAGAGCGGCGTCATCGTCGCCAATACGAACATAAACAACGCCCGTCTCTTGCGACCCGAGCTCTAAGCTGTCCGACTGAACCTGTACAATTACCAACCCCCAACCCCCCCAAACCGCCGCACTCGTAGTGCTGGACGAGTACAGACAACATGCAGCGGGTCACTTCCATGCTCCCCTCGTGGGACAAGACCAAGACCAACAGCAAGAAGGGTTTTGATACGGCGTGGAAGGCTCTCGGTAAGTGCCTTGTTTGCTGACGCGAAGCTGGCCCTTCGACTGACCCGCACAGATAAATTGGGCGGCCCTGTCAACAAGCTCTCTAATAAGATAGGATCCGAAGCTTTCTGGCCCACATCCCTCGATAAGGAGAGTGATAAAGCGGCTAGGATCCTCAAGTCGTTTTGCAGTAAGTTGTTCCTATCGCTTGAGGCTTGACCACCGCTAACTCGCAGAATCTAGAGGACGGCTTCTACGCAGAAGAAGATCGACCACTCAACCAGGAGGGAGCAAAGGGCAAGCAACGCGTATTGAAGAAGATCCCACAAAAGGTCATTGAGAATGCCGTTGGTCTCGCCATATTCACGACCATGCGATCCGGTCTCTGGGTTTCTGGTGCCGGCGGCTCGGGTGTCTTGGTTGCGAGGATGGAGGACGGAAACTGGTCCCCTCCATCCGGTATCTTGCTGCACACAGCAGGTCTAGGATTCCTGGTCGGCATCGATATCTACGATTGCGTCGTAGTCATAAATAACCGCAGGGCTCTCGATTCCTTCACAAAGGTCCGAGCCACAATTGGGGGCGAGATCAGTGCAGTGGCTGGACCTGCTGGCGTTGGCGGGATTATAGAAAACGATGGGAAATGGAACCAAGCAAAGTAGGTGTCGTAGCGCCCAATCATCTATGGCTTGCTAACCATTGGATAGTCGACCAGTCTTCACCTACCTCAAATCTCGAGGGTTCTACGCCGGGGTTCAGGTAGACGGAACTGTCATCATTGAACGAACCGATGAGAACGAACGCTTCTACGGAGAGAGGATTGGTGTCGCTGATATTCTGGCCGGAAAGGCACGCCACCCGCCATACGAGATCAAGATGCTCATGGAGACTCTCAAGGCAGCAGAAGGCAGTAATGATGTTGATGTATCAGCGCTCCAAGCACTCTCCTATGAGCCTGCCCCAGGGGACTTCGAGATTCAGACTCCATCACCCGAAGCCCCCACATTCGGGATCCCAGAACCTGATGATCCCGATCCTTTTGGTGTTCTAGCCCTGGAGAGGGAGGGGTTTGAGATCCGAGAAGCAGGTACAAAGGCACGACCACCGAGCACACAATTCGAATTCAACCCAAGTCCGACGAGTCCTGTATACCAAAAATACCACCGGCAAAGCATGGACACAATTAGTTCACTCAATAATAGGGCGAGTTACATGTCCAATCGCAGTTTCCGGACGAACAGGACAAGTACGGGCAGGCTAACGCCGACAGTTGAAATGGGCACACAGACGGATGATCACATTACTCCCATTACCAGTCCAAGTCAAAGCGACGAGCAGAAGCGGATAATAGAAGAAGAAATCGACTACACGAAGGTCGACTTGGGACCGTACAGCAGCCAGGGTCATAACCAAGACCACGACAGCACCACCGCGACTGATGCCTCACGCGAACATGACCGCAATGACCATCGCGCAGCTGATAGTAGCTATGCCACCGAAACCGAAGATGATGAGCCAGTCGTCTTCGAGGCTGCTTCTGCACAGACTGCGGTCTTGATGCCGCAATCGATTGCCAAGGGTGGCGGGCTGGTCAACATCCCAAAAAGACCACCGCCCCCTCCATTGCCGCCACGGAACTTGGCGAGAGCAAGCAAGGTGTTGACGGTCGATCAGTCAAGTGGCCAGAGCCCAATGAAGTCAGATTTCGGGGCGAGTCAGACTTCCGTGGTGTCAGACTTCGAGGAGGTGGACCTGCATGGTGGGAACCGCAAGAGCGAGGAGCTGGTGAAGGGTATCGTGCTAGACGATCTGGAGAAGTCTGAACCCCGCCGATCCGTCGATGAAGAGGTGGACAGAGCTCTCGAGGAACAGCACCTGGAGAAACTGGAGAAGATCGAGTCCTCGGAGCCGGAGACAGAGAAGTTCGAAGACGCAGCGCAAGAAGCCGACCCCAAGACCGAGGCCGAGACTGAAACGGAGACTGAGAACGAGCATGAGAATGAGCTTGAGACCCCGGGTACGCAGCATGATGATGTGATGTGGACGGCCTCGCCATACGAGGAGAAACAGGCACCGCAGGTGACACCAGCAGTGCACGAGGAGGAGCCGGCCATGCACGAGGAGGAGCCGGCCATGCACGAGGAGGAGCCAGTAATGCACAAGGAAGAACTGGTAGTAGAAGACGACGACGAACCAACCGTGCACGACGAGGAATCAAAAATGCATGAGAAGAAACCATCAGTGCACGAGGAGAAAGCATTAGTGCACGAGGAATGACTGCCGGACGAGCAAATACGACTTCACACCGATGCGTAAGCACGACAGCAGGGCTAGGCGTTGGGGGTGGGAGAACGGATCGTTTGCAGGGAGCGGAAATGGTTTTTCGGGGGGGG